CGTAGCCATGGCTATGACACCGAAAGTCAGGCGATAATAATTTCTGTCAAACTAAAAAGCTGTCTGTAGAAAAATTGTCGACATCATCCGTCATAATTTTTGACTACTCCTATTATGAAAACGATCGAGAACCATGAAGAGTGTTAACTTCTTCAAGCATAGAAGTACAGGACACAGTAAACATACACGCACTACATAAAAAAGATACATATACGTCCTATTTTTTTTTGAAGCTTTTCTTCGTTCTTCATCAATCGAGAGTAAAATAAGCACGACGATGGTGCAGAATGATGTAACGTTTAACTTATCTTCGTTTGTTCTAACCGCTATTGATAGAGAAAAGAGGAAAGGGAGTAAAAAAAATGTGTGAATCATTCTACATAAATTGAATGTGCGTTTCGTGTCTCATGTACACCTATGCCCGAAGAAGTCAATATCATTGACAAAAAGTGAGAAGAAAAATAAGAAAGAAAATGAAGAAATGCATCCATTAAAATTGAGTTTCAAACACATTCTTGTCAATCAAGCAGTATTCAATGACAGTCACGGCTGGCTGATTGCTTGCATTTCACGAGTAACTGCACAGTACAACAGAGATACCCTACACAATAAATACAAGGAAAGGCAACGTGCGATACACAACAGACAGAGACACATCTGTTACAATTATTCTATAGTTGTAAGAATATGAATTGGTCTGCATTGGAAGATGGGCGACTCGTATCTGACAATGATGCTACACGACTGCCATCGAAAAGCTCAATCGACTCAAACGAATCTCCTGTTATATTTGCTCGTGATTCTGGTAGATCATCTTCAATGAACAGCAAGGACAGTGTTGTCGAGAAAGTGAGTGAATCCACCGAATTACTGTTGGTTAGATCTCAAGCTAAATATGGCTACTTAGAACATATTCAATCGTACAAACCATTCTGTGCTTCAGATGACAAGTCTCTTACGAGAAAAGCCAGGTAACTGAAAATTAATTTGAGTTCTTGTTTGACGAGAAAGTATCATATGAAAAGAATTGTTTGTGCTTATTTTGAAAAATAAAGGTTCCGTCGAATAGTAAATCAAACTTCAGAAGATTGATGGCCAAAAAGTCTTGTTTTTCATAAATGATATTTTTTTATTCGAACAGATTTGTTTGCTGAGTGCATCATATTCATCCAGCTCACCAATCTATAATCGGTTGAGATGGCTTCTGAAGAGACCTCTTCTAAGTCCTTCATTTTTATTCTCCACATTTTTCTGATTTATATAGGCAATTCTACGCGAATCAACTGGAACTTATAAATTCTATCGAAGCTATCCTCTTACCGAAGACCTTTGACGAAGAAACCAGCACAACGGCTTATCAGAAACAACAGGAACGCAAGACCAAAATACTGAGTATCATGACTCTGATCACCAATATTGTATGTTCTACATTGTTTACATCGTTGTGTAGTGGATCTCTCTGTTGAATGTAAGTTTCTAGCGCTTATCAAAACAGTGGGTGCTGTCATGTCAAAATCTCTCTCAGTGATCTCAACACTTGTCGATAGTGCCATTGATCTTTTATTTAATATTATTCTGATTTGGGCAGCCCGTAAAATCAAACAACGCGATACATACAAATATCCTACAGGTAATTGATTATGAGGTTTTTCCAGGTACTTTTCTATTGTTTTACAGGAAGAACACGCCTTGAATCGGTCACTATCGTTATTTTATCTGTAGTCATGTGCTCAGCTAGCCTAGAGGTGATCGTTGAGAGCAGTAGAGCTTTAACTCGAGATATCGGTTATTTTACTCATCCATACAATGCTTCATCGTGTAGAACACTACAGGATATCGATATGAGTACATTGCCTGTTGTCGCCATGATATTCACCATCGGTGAGTCTTGCATTTTCTTGTGAACAAGATTTGTTTGTATGCATTCATTTCTAGTGTCGAAGGCCATTCTTTTCGTATTGTGTTATCGGATCAACAATCCAACGATGCGCGCTCTTACTGAAGACAATCGAAATGATGTGGCTTCAAATACTGTGGCACTTGTGTGTGGAATTATCGGTAATTTAAGACCTTCTGTATCGTAACACTTGTGGATAAGAGAAAACATCGAATTAGATCAATTCTTAGCGAATAGCGATCAAGATTTTATTTTACCCATATCTGTATCACAATACTTCGATTGAAGCAGAATGAAATTGTCGTTTTAGATTTTCTGACTACATTCATTTATAGTCTATGAGTTCAAGAAAGATGAACATCTCTCATTATTTAGCCTTAAAGAGATATTCAATTGTCCTCTTCCGAACGTCACGCTAGTGGCGTATCTAGAACAGTGGCGACTCGCTGGCGGTGAGGTGGCAGTGGAAGGTGGCGCCACTCTTTTTTTGCTTGTAACTTTTAAACCGAATGTTATGGAAGCCTGAAATTTTTATCATATATACTACATTTTAGGGCTAGATTATGATAAAAATTCCAGGTCTTCATAACATTCAGTTAAAAAATTAAAAGCAAAAAAAGAGTGGCGCCACCTTCCACTGCCACCTCACCGCCAGCGAGTCGCCACTGTTCTAGATACGCCACTACGTCACGCAAACGAAACGTTTTCATTGTTGTTTACGGTCTCGAAAAGTTCGACTTTTGGAACTCCTATCTCAACAACCGCATTCCGAGTCTTCTGTATTTAGAATATTATCTATGTTAAACCAGCTATTTAATCGTCGAAATGTGTTGCACGGATGGGAGATAAATTTCCCTAACCTTTTTAGAAAGCAATAATTGATAATTAAACATGGAAAAATAAAAATTCAGAAATATCGAAAAGCAGCGTATTGCATTCTTACATATTTTCCTCAAAATCAATTTGAATACTGTGGGTAAGGTTAGAAGAAGGTGGAAAATTTAGGTCATTTTAAGCCTTTATGCATTCTAGATTGCAGGAAATGAAGCATCTATAAATATTGACCCTAGAATAGCTTGCAATCTGTTCGTCGAGTTGTTCTTGAGAAACTCAGGAAAGGATGGACAGGGAGAGTGGTTTCAAATATTTGACGGCTATTCTTAAATAAAAGAAATGATCAAAAGTGCTTGATCTTTTAGGTTCGAATGCTCTGCACCAGAAGATTAGACAGGAAGCTATTGTTGTCGACCCAATTGGGGCCATCATTATTTCAATTTACATCATAATCGTTTGGATTCGGCATGGCAAAGGTAAGTGCTTAGTGTCACCATACACGAGGTTTCCTCATTAATACACGATATTAACTCTTATTAAATCTCACCACATCTCTTGAACTGTCAGACAGTTCGAAATGATGATTACCTTATTGAAATAGTCATTATGTGATTTGGTTTTGCACAGGACAAGTTCGCTGCCTAACAGGTCTGACGGCTGATCCACTCTTTCTGCAACGGATTACCCATGTTGTCTACAATTTTCGCCCTGATCTTATAGCAAAAATCAAAAATATTCGAGCTGTTCATCATGGTACGAAATTTTTCGTCGAAGTTGAGATTGTTGTGTCAGGTTCAATGCCTCTGGCTATTATACACGATGTCCGAGAGGAACTACAAAACCAACTTCAAAAAGTACCCGATATTGAACGAGCATCTGTCCATGTCGATTCTGAAGTTACACGCGCGTTAGCATATGAAGACAATGTCGTTTGATTTCGCGTTTTGAACGCTACCATGAAACATTTTAATCAAGATTATTCGTATAAAATAAAGTTAGTATAAATAAAGCTATTTGTAAAATATGTTTCTGTTAATCTGTGCTTTGCGACAAGTGGTCACCTTGAAGAAAAGTTTGGAATCGGATGGCTGTAGGTCGTGGGTGTGGATGTAGGGTGTTGAACCGATGTGAGTGTAAGTGCGGATGTTGATATCGATTTGGATGAAGAAACAAGCCAAGCACACCCACACCCACCAAAAGTAGCAGAAAATCACATACGCAACGTAAATATTTTCTTTCATATTCGCCATACTGAGCGGATTAAAGAAGACCATGGGACTCGAACACATACAAAACTTAAAATAAGTCAGGGTGTGGATGTGGGCTTGAGGGTGTGGGTGTGGAAGAAGCTGTAGATGAAGAGGAGACTCACATCCATATTCACCCACACTCACACTCTCGATATCGAATGTAGACGAAATCAGCTGAAAAATATTGATTTCAGTAGCAAAACGTTATCTCAATCAGAAATCAGTACCAAAGTTTTTGATTGCTGCCAAAAGTATGGCAATTGTCGAATTTGATAGAATATATTGATCTAGGTAAATAGGTATACGTGGATATTGCTAAAGCCATTTATCGAAAAGCTATGTCATCGTCAGATCAGCCGAAAGGTCTTGCTATGTTATACATATATATGTGTGTGTGTGAAGAATTGCAGGTTGAAATGAGAAATCCTGAACAGCAAAGTTTATTTCCCATGACACATCAAGCAGTCACAAAGTGGTTGCATCCATAAGGCACAAGCAATAAGTTTGAAGCGAAGATTCACCCTTTCTTCCAAGCACTTCATCAAGATCTGATCACTCAATAGATGAGTTCGTTCCTGAAACTGCGTGTTTAAATTGGAGTTATAGAATTATACAAGTGGTGGCAAGAGCACCTCGATCAATCGTCTCCTTGGCATACCATCTCTGGACGAGGAGGGCGCGGCGTTCATATCAGCCAATATGATCCAGAAGAGCCTTTAATCGATCCAACCAATCCAAATAACAAAACTCCGGTAACCTTTGACGACCTTCAGAGTCATGATGCAAATACAACGTTCAATAATAATGAAATTTTAGCGGGCAACTATCTGGATGAAATTCGCAAACCCGATTGCGACATCTACATTATAGTTTTCGACAAATCTTTAAGCGTTGAACACAAGAAATGGATCGATAAAATTGAAAACAGTCTAAAGCGTCCACGTGTATTAGTCGGATCAAAGATAGATAATGATGTTTTACATCAATTCAAGATAGATTGCAATGAAATCTATAGTGACATGAAACCAACTCGATGTGTTGAACTTGCAGCATCGATTATTGGACAACTACGACAAGATAATGCTGTTCCTCCAAAACAGGTATATTTGGTAGTCTGGAACTACAAGCCCTGCAGCTTTAACGCGAAAGAACTATAAAGAGAGCAACTTTTTGACTGTCAAGAATTGCTCGCAACATTAGGTCGATTAGCTGCTGTGAGAAATATCAGCCGTATGCATAGAATAGCTGTAGATACGTTAATTTATGTTATCAATACATGCTTTCGTAGTGGCTATATCCCCAATACTCTGAATTTCAAAGTTGCCGCCAGTTTCGCAGCTGCTATCCCATTTCTAGACCAGCTTTCTCGTTATCTCACCAGAGACAGCATTCGAACAATATTCGGCATCAACGCCAATTTCCACAATTATCTACGAAATTTGAGACTCACTGTTCATGAGTACAAATAACAAACATCAGTATTTGAGAAAACAGAGAAAGTCGATGACACACAGATGAAAACAACTGTTAACGGTAAATCGTTAGCAAAGACTGTCGGTACTGATCTGCTGGTAGCAGGTAGTAGTGTTGCTGATGATATCGTCTGAGCAGCTGCGCCGTCGACAACGATCTTATCCGAAGTGAGATGCGTCATTTTCACTGTTGCCACCTTAAGTATAAGTGTAGCGAACACTATCGGCGTTTGTGCTTGGTCCGCAGTCGATAGTGGAAAACATATTTTCAGCTATGTTAATCGACTTTGTGATGACCTGATCATGATAACAGACGAATACGTTATACAAATGTTGCTTTGCCAATATGGTAGAAGCATCAACGATACGAGTAATGAGACGCATGAATAACGGTGGACTGTTTGTACATCGAAGGAACACTTTCGGTATTTTATTTCTTTTTGCTATCTTGATTTCAGAAGTAGTTGTCGAATGTGATTCAATGATACATGATCTTTCTCATTGTCAGCTTGCTTTCCCAAATGTTTGTCTTCGTTGTTTGCAGGCTTCACAATGTATTCAATAAAACTTCATATTCGATCTATCAATACTTTTTCAGTGCTTTGATCATGAATGTCTTTACAGTATTTCACTGCCTATGTATCAAAGGCGATTATTCAAGTGAGTTTGGGTCAAAGAGTGATTGTGTTGAAAACGGCGATATCTAAAGAGTATGAGTCAAATGTATTGCAAATAAATCATTCACAATGATAACAAAAAAAGGATAACACGAAGTAAATATTATTTAAAAAAAAATGTTGTTTTTATACACTTACGTCTTCGATTCATTCATTATCAGTTCGTCGTTTTATGTATGTCATAAAAAAGACGCTATACGCTAACGTCATCAACACCCACCTTTGATGAATTCTTAATAATACAATGAAAAGACATAAATACAGAGTAACAATACTCGGCGCAAGAAGATCATCGATATAACTGTTTTCTTCGTCATGACTGATTATTCAGCAGCAACACATAAGCTTTTGCTTCGTTACTATAAAATTCGTCAAAAGATCGGCGATGATTTCAAAATCAAAGATCAATCAGGTCAAACGGTTTTTCAAGCTCGATCAAAACATCCCATATTTGGCGATAAATTCATTCTTGAAGACATAAACGGACGGTAAGTGATTATTGAATTCCTATCAATCATTAGCTATTTTTTAATTACTTGAAAATCAACTCAACACTCATTGAACTCACATTTGCCTGTCGAATGACGAAAAATTTTCCCTAAATTTCAAGAGATATACTTAATAAATATTTGTTGTTCTTTTCTGTAGGCCACTGATCCAAATTCGAGGAGAACCTTTTTTCCACAATAACTTCGAAATTTTTGCCTATACTTCTGATGGTTCCAAAGAACTTCTTGCGACGATTAATAGAACATCCGTCTGGAAACATAATTTCATTATTCAAACGACCTATGGTCAATATGAACTGAAACAAGATGGTCTACTCGCTCTTTCATATCTTCTAACGAAAAACAGAGGTCAAGATACTGTGGCAACTATTCAACGACATGGTCTTTCGCTGATGGATACATTTACAGTAGGAATTATAGAGAATGAACAAGAAAATCATGCATTTATTTTGTCCATGATCATTGCTTTGCATTGCACATCTCATGATTAGTGTCTTCTATGGTGAACTGAGCCGAACGTATCAATTTCATCTTTGTACTATATCGAATTTTGATATTCTTTTTTTTCAGTAATGCTTTGAATAAATCGATCAGTTTGAGACAGTTGACTTTCTCCCAAAACAGGTCTCAAGTTTGTCCGAAAGGTTTACGAATACAAAGAAATATGTTTTGTTGTCAAGGAATTCACTTCGTTCTCTATTTTGCTCTTGTAAATAGAAAATATATTCTTTCAAGGACAGATTGAACTATCATTTCAAGAGCGTTCGCTAAGGATCAGAATTTCAAGATTTTTGCAGATACATCGATCTGGTTACAATTTCAAATTTTCACTAGCAAATATCTCTGTGTATTGTCGAGTGATTGGACCAAAATGAATACGAAAAACAATTTACATGCACGAAAATTTGATAAATTTAGTTCTTTTTCATTATAGACCACTTCTGTAAACGAAATGTTCGTTCCAACGGTTTGTACGAGGGTGTGGGGTGTGAGTGTCCGTGTTTCTCTTCATAACACACGCAACTATACCCCCACCCACACTCGAATGCGTGCAATATCAATCAGTTTATTCAATTACACAGAAATCAGAGACCAAAACTGAGTCGAGAATGAATATGAATGGAGATGAAGAGAAGATTAACAGCCACAGCCACACTCTCAAAGAAGGTAGTTAAACGTATAAATGATGAATAATAAATAAATAAATATTAAGAGTTTATCAGCCTTATTATAATAGTAGCCCAAAAAATATATAAAGAAAGATCGATATACATATTCCATATGTCCTAGCAATAATCTATCAAAGTAAGAAAAGAATATTACTGTATTTTGACTGAATGAGTTAATTTTTTTTCCTAATGATAGATAAAATCTCCAAGTTTTTATCCATAAACGAAGATTTACTAACATCACTTACAACTATTATTATCTACTTAAACGAAAATACGTGGGTTAGTCAATAAGTTCTCGGACTTTCAAATATTTATTCATAGAAAAAACATTTTGCTAACCTTTTCACAGTAAATGTTCAAAGTAGTTCCCACGATATTCAGTACAAAGTTTCATCCTTTCAATCCACTCCTGGAATGTCTTTCGGTATTCCTGAATACATATTGAATTAAGCTCGTTGATTATTGTTTTAGCTAAACTGGTAGCATCTGAATATGTACCAAGGCTGCGTTTCAGACAACCGAACAACCAAAAGTCTGAAGAAGCACGATCAAGTGACGATGGTAGATGAGCCATAACTTTCATTTTTTCCTCTTGAAGATAATAAAGATTGAGAACAATATCTAAAATATGTGATTTCGCAATTTTATAATGTAAATTTATGCTACTTGTTTTTGACGATGCTTTTTTCGTATGTAAATTTTTGACTTAAATCTTCAAGTATTTATCATAATAGTTTATATGATAACTGTGTCTGAGATGGTAGTAACATAATCAATACTAATATGTGGATCATCATTCACCAGGTCCTGGATCGCATCAATATTTTGTTTAATAATGACGGTTATTGGACGACCATTACGAGGATTATCTTCCAACGACTCTCCTCCACTTGAAAATCGATCAATCCAATGAGCAACTGTACTATATGAAACAATACCTTGTCCATAAGCAGCATTTATTCATCATGAATTTATGTAGAATTTAAATCTAATAATTAACGAATTTTTACATATAAGCGAATACAAAGTTTTATCCATCTGAGAACAGAGGTGTTAAAAAAATTGATTAAAGATTTGTCATAATAGACACTTGTAAAACCTCGTATTGGTATTTTAACACATAACAGATTTCACTACTAGAATAGGCCAACATCAGGAATAAAATCAATCAGGATAAAATTTTAGAGTACTATAACGAGAACTTTTTGACTATCCTGTGTAAATACAGTTGCTCGGAAAAATAAATGATAAGTTTTAGGCTTCTATGATATGATGCAAATTATCATATTCTTAATTATCTGTCCACTACGTATAAACATATATGACTCCATTTCGCATGCATACGAGCAGAAATTTTTGATTGATGAGTTTTAAAAGCAGTAATTTGTACTGATAATATTTATTGTTTTCAATGTATTATTTAGAATAGATTTTGATAGTATCACTGGTTCAACATCAGTTTTTGTGGAAAACAGGTTGTCTAATATTTTTTTCATTGATATATATATATGTTATAAACATAGTTTTAGTGATATAGGTATGTATAGTGCCAGAGTGTTCTCATTAATGTTGAGACGCATGTGTAAATTCAGCAAATTTTGAATGTAATCAAAAACTTGATTATTGTTTTTCCATAAATCGAAGAAGCTAAAAGAAGACCAACAATGGGCATATTCAGAAATTTTTTTTTGTATTTTACAAATATTTTAGATCATTAAAGGATAAATCAAGAATTAGTTTAAGAAGGATAAGAGCGAGCATGCATTCATATTACTAGCCTCATCCATACTCACATCTCTCTATTTCGCCATATAATGTGTTCATTAAAGTATAATCCGTATTTTTTCGCGGCTTTCTATCATTAAAATTTTACTATCGATTTATCAACACATTGCTTTATCATAAGAAATATTTTATGACAAAATTAGAAATTTTAACGAACATCCGGTTTTTTTTCGATGATCGTCCCGAACACCTGTATTTTTCTAATTACGAACATCCGATATTTTTATCATAAAAATAATGATTTTTTGAAGAACAACGAATGTTCGGAATGAAAAATCGCAACGAAACGTCTAAATGACAGCTGTTTCGAATAGTTTTATTGAAACTGGTTTAGTCGATGATTGGCAACGATCACGAAAATACTTGCTACTAGCAGACGAAAAAGTAGACGAAATTGTTCATGTATTATAAAATAAGTCCCAGAAACAGAATATGCGTCGAATCTCTCAGAAAGATAAATCGTTGAGATCTTATTGCCTATTGTCAGTGACCAAAACAATGAGTCTTGGCTCGTTTTCTGACCGACCTATTTTTTATATATATCAGGCATGATCAATAAATACAAGTGCTGTACTTCGACTCAAAATAATCTTTTTTGTCCTTGTGGAAACCGTAATAAAATCAGCAATATTTACAATTTAATGTGCAATGCCAGTTAAGCTAATGATTGGACTATGTTTCTTTTTCAGAAGAACCGGCCATTGATCAATAAAATTACGTTGGTATGTTTCAAAACTTTGTCTATCAAGTTTTATAGAAAAGAGGGATCACTAAAAGGATGAGATTTCAACAGAATGCTACACCAACTCATTAGTTAAAGACAGTTGTCTTCTAATTGAACGATAAGTTTGATGATCTGTAAATTTGAAGAGTTGAATCGATATCATGGTCTCGACGATGCTCATACTTAACACGATTGAATTTATTTTACTGAGAACATATAAAAACAAATGTCTATAAAACTAACTATAAAATATCTCGACGATTTAAACATCTAAATAATTGAAGATATTTAAAACAGAAAAAGAGAAAATTTTTCTATTTCACTGAAAATTGATAACATTCAGGCATATTTCGAAATGTTTGTTCGTTTAAATAAGAATTCTGTGTATCGATCTATAAAGAAAAACTGGTTGGCAAACTTAAATATAATATTAAAAGTATAAGAAATAAGTTTAAGAAAGGCATATTTGTGAAAGTGCATAGTTTGAAAAAACTTTCATTTGATTTGTTTAAACTATGACAAGTTTCGAAGAATAGAAATTTGTAGTAAGGCACTGATTGAAAAGAATTTTTTGATTAAAATTATTGAAAATAAAATGACATTCATGGAAATTTCTTTCTCTGAAATTGAAAAGAATTACGACTAAAACGTTAGTTTTATGGAGTTTGAGACTGTTTTATTTGATTGATTACAAAAAGAATAGTTTTTTTTTTTTTATAGATATGACAATAAAATAAGATGATATATTCATGTGAAAGTATGGTTTAACCTTGGATTATCCTACTAATATAATTTGATTTTTTCCAATATTTTTAGTCTATAATAGAAAATAAATGACATATGTCAATGTTAAATATATAAAAATCCTAAATGAAAATTTGGAGTAGACTGAATAGTCGTTTTACTCTCTACTTCGAGATGTCATTCGAAGCTTTGACATATGCTCCTCGTTTATTATCTAGCAATCTTCAGGTCTTATTCATTCAATGACAATGAATATCTTCTATTTTCTTTCTCATTTAGTTTTTAATACTTTTTCTCATTGTCTATGATTGTTTTAGTTTTATCTAATTTGTTTCCATTTAATAATCACTCACTTGATTTTTTTATTTTCTTACTTACATAAGAGTACGTTTTATGTGACATAGAGACAAAAAATCTTAAGATATGAAGTAACTGAATAAATATGATAGACAAAAGTGGATGTAAAACAATCTGCTCGATTTTGTCTTTATCTGAAGTATAATTATTTATTCTTATAGAAGATGACTATGTTCGAAGAAAATGATGATTAAGAGAGGAAGTCTGAGAAAAAGCTTTGTCATGTATAAACGGACCCTGTCATACAAGGCTAACTTTATAATAAATATTATTATGACTAATAAAAACAAATATTTGCATACGTATGAAGTTGATAACAGAAGAAGTTAAGTGAAATTTAAAATAATAAATTGAAATACGTTTGAATTTGCTGTGAAGAAGTAATTGTAATAAAATGATGATAGAATGTATGCTTATTTTTTAATTGTTCAGTTGATTGTGAAAAGACTGAATGTTGAAAAAATAATATAAAATTGTTTTCCACAAATCTCAAAGCAATATTGATTTATTCGAAAATTTTTTGTCATTCATTATAAAATCTAATTAAATAATTAGATTTTCAAAATTATCCGAGAAAAATATATAATAACATAAGTATTGAGCAAGATCATTGATATTTGTACAAGATTTAACTTGATCTTTCGAAAACAAATGAGAAAATGTTGTTTGATATTGAAATGATGAACTTTATCTTGGTTATTGATAATAA